TACTACTACTACTACTGACTACTACTACTACTACACTACTACTACTACTACTACTACTACCACTACTAACTACTACTACTACTGCTACTACTACTACTACCACCACTACTACTACTACTACTACTACTACTACTACTACTACTACTACTACTACTACTACATATTCTGCTACTTCTCGTACGACGACGACGACGACGACGACGACTACTACTACTACTACTACTACTACTACTACTACTACTACTACTACTACTACTTACTACTTACTACTACTACTACTACTACTACTACTACTACTACGACTACTACTACTACTACTACTACTACTACCCTTTCTTCTTCTACTCCTAACGACTCTTTTTCCGCCCCCCATAAGTCCTCATCATCTCCTCATCTCCTCCTCCCTCCTCCCTCCTCCTCCCCCTCCTCCTCCCTCCCCCCCCCCGTTCACCCTCCTTCTCCACTCTCCTCCCCCTCCTCCTCCTCCCTCCTCTACTTCTCCCCCTCTTCCCTCCCTCCCCCCCCCATCCTTTCTCCTCATCTCTCCTCCTCCTCCTCCCTCCAACTCCGTCTTTCCTCCTCCTTCTCCTCCTCCTCTTTCTCCTCCTCCTCCTCCTCCTCCTCCTCCTCCTCCTGCTCTTCTGTCCCGAGGAGCACTCCTCCCCCCCGATGGGGTCGGAGTAGTTGGGGTCGGAGGGTCGCGCCTTATCTCCGTCGCATCGCCGATGCGGCTCGCTGTGGGGCCCGATTTGCTTCACGTCGACGTCGCTGATGCATGGCCGATGCATCGTGTTTGTGTCGGCGATGCGGTGCGATGCCCCGACCCCATCTATCCGGACCCCATCTAGGAGGCATCTGAAATACATGTCGGTTGTTGAAAGTTGTGTGTTTGGATTCCCAGATCCACATGTGCTTCAAGCTCCTTCCTGCTGCAAGAACCGATGCTCTTTTGCCGTAAGTGCTATTCTCTAGGAGGGCCTGGGCCCAATATACTTGATCCGCCTTCCCACTTCGCATGTTACCAAATTTCTCCGACCGTCCTGTACACGAATTCGCCTGGGAGCCTCGCCGATGGCATAGGCCATCATCGATCTTGGATATTCGCATTCGTCGTCGCCCCCGAGAGGGGGGCAGGGGGAGCTCTGCCCCCGTCGTGCGAACGTCAACAGGGGCGCAAGAACGTAAGATATCTCATGGACGAGAAATCCCAGGCAGGCTTGCCCAAGGCTGGGTAGTCGAAGGCCAGACTGTCAGACTGGATTTGGCCCCAAGGGCCAATCTGGCCTGGCCATATTGGAGGATTTGGGTTATTCGCCAGACTGGATTCGCGTTGGCTCCCTCGCCAGATTGCCCCCGTTTGCCAGACTGGGCCTGCCAGATTGGCGCCAGATTGGCTTCGACTGCCCAGCAAGGGGGGTTGTCCAGGGGGGGGGTGGCGGATCCCCGCTGGGTCGTCCAAGGGGTTGTGCGGGGTAGGTCGTCCTGTCGTCATTCGTCGGCACGGGTTGTCTGGGTTGCCCGGAAGTGCCCCGAAAGGGGCCACACACGGCCCTTCCTGCCACCGCGGGCCGGCAAAGTGTACGAAAGCTGCGCCCCACGTCCACTGCCCCCCCATTAACGAACACCCAGCACCGCCAGCGGGACAAGGCTACATCGTTCTAGAGCGTTCCGGGACACTCTTAAGAGTGTTTCGGAAAGCTCCGAGAAGGCAGCGGCGCTCGATGCATCCTCCGGAACCGCGGGATCTCATGGATCCCCGAGTTGTCCCTGTCCGATGTTTTGCCCCTGTCCTGATTTCGTCCTAGGGTCAGGGGGGGGGGGGCACCACCACCGTCTTAGGGTCGTTTCTTCGCGGATGCTCCTCGCGGAGCGTATCCTTGTGACCGCGTATCTGCGGGATCGCGCCCTGGAGTCCAGATTGCGAGGGCGCGGATACGGATATGTTAGCCGCTCGCACGGACACCGGACCAGCGGGAGGAGCTTCCTTGGGTTCTTGCTTTGCCGATTTCGGCAACGAAATGCGCAGCCTGCCCTCGCCGATCAACGATTCAGAAACTCGATGGGCGGCAGGGGCAGGTTCGGAATGCGTTGCAGACGTGGCGAAATGCGAAACCTACCCACGCCTCCATCGATTCAGGAGAAACGATGGTTGGAGGGGGCAGGGTTCGGATGTCGGAGGCGGACGAGGAGGGAAAGGAGGAGGAGGATTATGAAAGAGCTCGGTGGGAGGAGAGGAGCAACCCGATGATGGGGAGAAGAGGGCGACACGGAGGGGGGTGAAGGCGTTGGGAGCATAGGAGGGAAACAGCTAGCTGGCTCCATTCCTCCCGGTCCCATCTTGTTTTATCCGTAAGGGCTTCGCCCCCTGCCGCCGGCCCCCTCTCTCGGAGAATGGGCCATGGAAGAGCTAAGTCATGAGGCTTTGGCGCTGTCGTGCAGCAGTATCGGAACTTCATGCGAGGCCGATTCGCAATCGGCAAAACCAACTGATCACAAGAGGGGTTACCACACAGGGCGATTGGTAAGACGTGTATGGTTTACGAGCTTGGTTACCACACCTTGGGATTAAAGGGCCGAGGGAGTACTCGCAGTTTGGGTTACCACGCCTTGCGATGGATGTGCGTGAGGGGTGGCACCGAATTTCAGAAATGTGGCAAATCCCCTGTGTTTTTGGACCCTGACCCCGCGGATCTGCGTGAGGGGTGGCACCGAATTTCAGAAATGTGGCAAATCCCTGTGTTTTTGGACCCTGACCCCGCGGATCTGCGTGAGGGGTGGCACCGAATTTCAGAAATGTGGCAAATCCCATGTGTTTTTGGACCCTGACCCCGCGGATCTGCGTGAGGGGTGGCACCGAATTTTAGAAATGTGGCAAATCCCATGTGTTTTTGGACCCTGACCCCGCGGATCTGCGTGAGGGGTGGCACCGAATTTCAGAAATGTGGCAAATCCCCTGTGTTTTTGGACCCTGACCCCGCGGATCTGCGTGAGGGGTGGCACCGAATTTTAGAAATGTAGCAAATCCCCTGTGTTTTTGGACCCTGACCCCGCGGATCTGCGTGAGGGGTGGCACCGAATTTCAGAAATGTGGCAAATCCCTGTGTTTTTGGACCCTGACCCCGCGGATCTGCGTGAGGGGTGTCGATTTCGAGCCCCCCCAGCAATTCAGACAACGCGCCCAGGGGGTGCTAAAAATCCCGTTTGGGCCTCCCCCCCCCTCGCGCGGTCAATCAACTAGTTACAGTAACCAGCAATCAGTCAACTAGTTACAGTAACCAGCAAGAAGCAGAACTGTAACACTGGAAACTACAAGCTACAACTGGTACTGGAAACTGCGAACCCGTGCCTCGCAGCCTGGTGGCCCCACAAGGGGGCTGGCGGATTATTCCTTCTCTCCCTTCCATCTCTGATTGTCCTCATCCATCCTCCCCCCGCTCCTCGCCCTCCCTCCCTCCCTCGGCCTCCCCCCCCTCCGCCCTTTTCCGTTCCCTTGCCCCCCCCTCTCCGTTTCCTCCTCCCTCCGCCTCTCATTCCTTCGCCTTCTTCCCTCTCTCGTCCTTCCTTCGCAGGTGACTGTTCTCCCCCAATCCCCGAATTTCGCCGGAAAAGTTTGGCCGCTCAGAAAAAGCGGGAAACTTTGGGATACACCCCGAGGGGGGCTACTCGGACGCACCACTGTCGAGGATGAACGCCCCCCAATCGTATATCCCAGGGTCGGGGCTTAACTTTCTGCTCCCTTCGAAGACACCACGATGTCTGGTAGAGGGGTCGACATATGCCGTGTTATGCCCATCGTCGGTCCACCCCTCTTTCGGGGGAGCGTAAGACCTGGGTTTGCCAGGACTCGGGTTCGCCATCGTTTTTTGACGAGCGCGCCTCGGATTTTGACGAGGAGTATCGTGGGATGTCTGCAGCGGGAGGCCTCGTCAAAATGCAGGCTCGACCTCGTCATTTTTTTGACGACCTCGTCGGAGATTTCCGAGTCCCCTGTGCCCAGGTCTTACGTCCCCCTGACTCTTCCCTCCTCCCTCCGTCTTCTGCCGGTGCCAGTCGCCCTCTCGCTCCTGGGGTCCGCTGCACCCCCCGGCCGCCGGCCCCCCCCGCCACCGAGAGCGCACGCGGCCGCCGCGCACGACGCCCAGACGGCGATGCCGAGAATGCCCCTCGTGCATCGAACAGCATCGAACATCATCATCATCATCATCATCATCATCATCATCATCATCATCATCATCATCATCATCATCATCATCATCATCATCATCATCATCGACATCATCATCATCATCATCATCATCATCATCTTCATCTTCATCTTCATCGCCATCTTCACTTCATCTTCATCATCGAACATCATCGAACATCAGCATCATCATCATCATCGTCATCGTCATCGTCATCGTCATCATCATCATTATCATCATAATCGTCATCGTCATCATCATCATCAGCATCATCATTATCATCATCATCACCACCATCGTCATCGCCATCGTCATCGTCATCATCATCATCATCAGCAACAACATCACCACCACCACCCTGATCATCATCAGCATCATCATCGCTATCGTCATCACCACCGCCATCATCTTCATCATCATCGCCACCATCATCATCATCATCATAATCATCATCATCATCATCATCATGATCATCATCATCATCATCATCATCATCATCATCATCATCAGCACCGTCACCATCAATATCATCATCATCATCACCATCATCATCAACATCATCATCGTCGTCTAAGACCGTTCCCCGACCGCCACGGATCGATTGGCCATCCGCGCTGCAGCTGGTCTTCTTGTCGCGCAAGAGAGGCATCCCGCCTCTTCAGGTGCCCAAGACGGGACCTTGCCTTTCGCCCTTCGCCCGTTCGACCACCATTGATCCGTTCAATTCCTCCCTGAGGCGCCGGCGACTCAGCAGAGGATCGCCAATGTGAGCGGAGCAGACTGCAGTGAAAATCGGCAGTGAGGACGCGGGGCTTCATCAAAGCTGCCTTTGCATCGCTGCTTCGTCGTCCAATCCTGAGCCCATTGACGTCCACTGAGCTCTACACGGCAGATGGGACATCCAAGGGCCGTGCATTCTTACCATGGAACTTGGTTGTACGCACTGGGCGACCTGGATTTCGTCTTCGCTGCATGGGGTCGGCAGGCTGAAGAAGCGGCCGCCGAGACTCGCGCTCCTGGGGCCCGCCAGCTCGGGCATCGACCAGGCCGCCAACGGCCACGCACTCGGGGGATCCCGCGCTCGGTTTTCGGGTCAGGACAGGCGCCGCGGCTCCTTCCAGACGTCGGGCCAGGCCACGACTTCGTTCACGACAACGTCGACGACAACCCGGGCTATCCGCTGGGCAGATGCGGGCGTGCCAGCCGACTAGTTTTTCCCTTTGGACAGCCGCACGCATGCCCGCGCGAAGCAGCACGGCGTACCCCGTTCGAACGTGCGCATGCGACGAGGTCCGGTGATCCGGGGCGGGCGGGACTGATAGCCCGTGCTGTCGCCAGACCCGCGGCCAAGCGGTCTCCGCTTGCGTGGGTCCCGCGCGGGGCGTCACTGGCCGCGTCCGACACGGAGCGGGGCGACCGCGAGGGCAAACGCAAGACTGCGCGCGTGGGGAAATCGGCGTGATTGGCCTGTTTTCCAACACCACTACCAGTTAGAGGGGGGAAAGGAGGTGGAGGAGGAGGAGGAGGAGGAGGAGGAGGAGGAGGAAAAGGAGGAGGAGGGGGAGGTGGAGGAGGAGGAGGAGGAGGAGGAGGAGGAGGAGGAGGAAAAGGACGCTCCTTGTGGTGGCGGTGGAAAGCAGGCCCACCATGGCGGCGCTGGCGCCCCGCAGGGCGCCGAGGCCCCCCAAGCTCCCCGCGGGGGGGGGCGCACCGGCCTCGGATCTGTGGCGCGGCCGGCGAGCGGAGGGCTCTTCGGAGGACCGCCGAGGCCATTTTGCCATCCTTCGGCTCCGTCCGGGGTGTTCAGTCTCGTACATCCTTGGGCGTTGCGTAATGGAGGGGTCATAAATGGGGGGGTGTCGCGGGTGGTCCGAAAAGGTACCCAAACGGTACCTAAACGAGCCCCCTGGGGCTCTGGAGGGGCCCGAAAGGGGCACGAAAGGAGACCTTTTCTGACCCCCCCATTTGTGACCCCCCCATTAAGCCATGCCCAACATCCGATCCCCATGCCGCCTACGGGCTGGACCCTCGCGCCAGGCGGGGGGGGGCATCGCGTCAGGCTCAAAAAAAGTGGTCTGCCCTGTCGCGCCACCTCGGTGCCACTGCACCACGGCCTGGTTCCCTGGAGTCACTTCCCTCGCCTCTCCTTCCCCCCTCTCCCTCTTCCCCCCCCATCGTCCCTGCCGCTCTTCCCCCTCCCTCTTCCACCCACCCTCCCGCCTTCCTTCTTGTTGCTTCTGTTGCTCATCCCCTCGTGGGCCCGACCACTCAAGTGCTGGTGCTCCTCCACAGCCCTCCCTCTTTCCGGATCTCCCACTGCAGGGAAACGAGCACGAGCTCCGCGTGGAGCTCCGCGAGCTCTTCGCTGGACGACACCGACGGCACCAGCGCGGTTGGAGCGCCGCCGTCCAAGGAGTTTCGTTTGGTGTCCAGTTGGCATGTTTCCCTTTCCCTCCTCCTCATCCTTCCACTCCTTCTCCTCCTCCTCCTCCTCCTCCTCCTCCTCCTCCTCCTCCTCCTCCGCTTCCTCGAGCAATGCAGAATGACGCAAGTAGTGCCACTGGACTGGCATGGATCCCAGGCCTTCCCCGCGAAAAAAACAATAGCAAAGAGGAGATCCTTGGCAAGCGCATCCTGCACGTGTACGTCTCCTTCAGTATGGCGTGGCACTCTGGCATGCCAAGACCAGGAAAACCATCAACACCTCCCCCCTGGGCACAAGGGGGACTCGCACAGATGCAGGGACCCTGCCATCATATGTGTTTGCGCAGCGCAGTGGAGGGCCAACGAGGGATGCATCAGCACAATCATGACCAACTACGACGGCACCAACGCATTAGCAGCCACCAATCGAGCGCTCCTGCGAGCGATTGCCTACAAGCACGCCCATGAAAACGGCAAGCGCTTTGCAGTAGCAGCCATAGAACACTCTACCCTCAGCCTTGCAGTCTCCGACGGTCCAGTCGAGGTTGAAAGTACCATAGGGGCCCAAATGGGCTTCAGCCTGTGCCCACGGCAAGTCAACGATGCATACAACATCAACGTCACCACCCAACGGTGGGAAGAAACGCGCAGAGATCCGAATCAACTATTACACGACACCGTCGACCCTACCGACGGGGCCACGTGCGACCTAGCGATCAACACATTTATGGACGACATTACCAGAACACGAAATTTCACAGCGGCTCTACACCACACGGAAATCGAGGCAGAGTTGAACACCACCACAGCACGGCTAGCCCTTCTTATTGCCAAAGGTGGTTGGGGCCTAAACAACGGAAACAAAACAACACTTGGTACACTTGGTGGGACCAGGCAGCTACGCAGCAACCAAGCGCCTACGCAGAAGCGAAACGCTACAGGGATCGGCGCTGAGAGAAATACGGGTACTAGGACCATACCTGCCTGCAGGCCAAGGGCTAGCAGGCGAGGTCAGCCGCCGTGTAGCAACCGTACGTGTGGCGTGGAGACCATGCGGCATTTTCTGGATTTCGGATACTCCACCACTGATCAAACGGCTGATGTTTATGGCTGTCGTACCAGGGGCAGCGCTCAGTTGACTCACCCCCTTCACAATTAGGCGTTCCCACACCGATGCGCTGGACAGTGTGTTTGCGACGTATATCTGGACGATGACGGGAGGTGCTATGTCATGGGAGAGAGAGAGAGAGGACGGCACGGTGAAGCGTAACACGAGCACCCAAGTTGTCCGACTTTGGAGGTTGGAGCGGCCGGCGGTGGCCGTTAGAGTCAGACGGCGCAGTACCGGAGCTGGGCACGGTACCCACGAGATCGCGGATCGGTAGTAGCAGCTGTCTTCGATACGCCGAAGCTCGACGCCAGCCAGGGACTACGACGACTGAGGGATGATAAATGAATCGACGCCAGCTCAACCCCATGGGCGCACCAGTACCTAGAGGACCTCGATGCACCCGCGGCGATTGGCGAGAGCATGGGATGGTTTGAGACAAGGACTCCGGATGTGGGGACCGTACAGCAGGCCACCCCTCAGCACTCCGATTGGCTCCAAATGGACCCACTCTTGCTCTACACCTACGAGCGAATCTGGGACGCACTGACAAGGAGAGAGGAGGAACACGGTGGAGGGGAGAAGGAGGATAACCTATTCAAACCGCACTGGTGCGATCATGTGACGAGGGGTGAGCAGGGGCACGGGCCGGTCTGTCGACAACGGTCCCCAACCTACGCCGTGCTAGCTGGGCATCGCCGAGAGACGTACAACGCGCGACCACTGGTGGCGGCGCCTGTAATCGTAACGAACCAGTGTCCGCGGTGTTATAGTACGTCCGCCAACCGACGGACGGCGGTGGACCACTGCGCGAGAGCGACCCATCCCCGCGGCGTCCGTCACAAAGATCGCTCTCGATGGCCCCGCGAGGTCCAGCGACCCAGCACGTTGGCATGTCGAAACTGCAATCATGAGGCCCAAACGCTAGAGGAGTTCCAGCAGCGCGTCAGGGGCTGCTTTGCAGGCCCAGATCAGATCCGCGAGCCCAGAGGCGAAGCAGCATGCAGCACCCGTGCTCCTCGCCATGGACGATCAGGGCACGGTTTGGCGGATCGAGGGCAAGCGCGGAGCGGGGGGGCCAGACCGAGTCGCGGCAGAGCGCTGCGTCGAGATGAAAGCCCTTCAGAAGCTCGCCCCCCAGGTCCAGAGCAGCGCGTCGATCAGGGGCGCGAACAACGACGCAGGCGACTTCTGGCTGATCCGCCTCGCAAGCGGCGCTGCCCAGCCCAGCCTCGCAACGGGGCGCGAGAGCGGGAGCAGGGCCAAGGGGCGCGGCAAGGGTCGCAAGTTGGGGTTTCCACGCGGACACGTAGCAGCCAGCTTCGCGGACCGAGTTGATGGGCAACGAAGCCGCCCTGTCTGAGCGCCGGAAGCCAGCGTTGGCCACGCTCAAGGAGTTCACGACGACAGCGTGCGGCGCGTGGGGGATGAAGGTGATGGCGGAGATCTTCAAGCAGTTCAAGGTGCAGCCAGCCTCCCAGAGCGACGACGCGATGGACGACAGCGACCGCGCGGCGAAGGTGTCCTTCGTGATCGGCACGAGCCCATGCTGCACGGCCGCGCTCTACAAGGACAAGGTCGACGAGGACCAGCCCCAGGCGCATCTCGGACACAAGGTGGCAATGTTCAAGCAGGCGATCAACGCGGCCATCGCGCGCCAGGGCGGGGCCAAGAGTGTCTCAGGGGGCCCGGGGACGGGGCCGTGGGGCAGCCGGGCGCCAGCTCAAAAGGAAGCGTCGAGCCCAGGACCGACGGAGGCACCAGAGCTTCCAGCTCAACGTCGCCGCCCGCCAGAGCCTTCCGCCGCTGCGGGCCCCGCGGCGCCCAACAGCGCCAGGCCCGCTCGCTGGCCACCCGCAGCGCCGTCAGATACGAGGGAGCAAACCATAGCAATGGCAATCAGTCAGGACCTAGGATGCTTCCAGGACCTACAGGACAAAGCACAGCAACACGGTGGGTTCATGGGCATCCTAGTACGCATTGCGAATCACTGCAGGGACCTGCGCGCAAGGGACTACGACGCGGCGACGCAGTCACCGGCCAGGGCGGGGGAGCACGCGCGAACCCCCCCCCCCAAAGCATTGGCGCCCCGCCCCCTCTGCGACGAGGCAAGAGGCTCAGGAAGACGCTGCCTGCCCCCCGGAGGCCCACTGGAACTACAGTGTATAGCCGAGTCGACGAAAACAAAGGACGGCGCGATGATACGACGGACGACTAACGGACTATCAGTGGTGCATGTAATGTGTTTGCGATTGCACAGACGGACCGATCAGGTAACCACTATAGCTAAAGACTGAGCCATTTAAGGACACTAAGGACACGACCTGCCCACAAGTGACCACCACTACGGCCCCCGCGCGTAGCTCGTCCGGCTCAACTTCCAATTCCGAGCAGCATAACGACATTGACGAGAAGCGACCTCGACCAGCAATGGTCAACGGCGCGGCGGGAGGTCGCCCGCCGTGCTGGGCGAGCCCCAGCCGGGAAGCGGAGACCCAGCGCAGCACTTGTTCGTCCAGCGCCAGCAGCACCGCGGAGGCCAGCACCGGCAGGTCATCGGCAGCATGGAGTACCGCCTCAACGCGACGCACGCGAGCACGCAGGCAACCGACGAGATCTTCAAACAGCGCCAGGAGCCCGCCCTACTGACCATGGTTGCGCTCCCACGCCAGCAGGAGCGGATCACTGTCAGTCTGGGCCGCCGAAAGAGCTCTCGCAGCCAGAACGTGCGCGAGGAAATGGAGCGCGCGCAGAGCGTCGAGGTCATTGGCCACCAGCTGACGAAGATCGAGCACGCGATCCAGGTCGTCAGCGAGCTCCAAGGGTGCGTTGCGGACCCGTCGCGCTTCATCCTTGGCCCGTTCCCGCGGGGGATTGACTGCGCTCGCAAGCAAAACGACGAGCTGGAAGGGTCCGTCACGCTGTGGTCCAAGAGCACGCACGGCCTCGGGCACGACGCGGTGGACGAGAAGCAGCAACCTGTACAGCAGACGCCTGCGGGTGCAGCCACCATTTAGCAGCGCACAGATAGCGCGAAGCCGTCTGCCTCAGCACAGGGATGTAATCACAAGTACGTGCTGCAGGAGGCCCCCACTGCCCGGCGAGCGAGCGGCGACGCGAGACTCGCGGACCCCGCGACGGCGGCAAAGGCGGGCTGGGGGTCCAGATGCCTGGAGTGAGAGCGTGAGCGGAGTGAGCCAGATCGCCCGCCCCTGATCGATTGAGGTCCGCAGCTTCTCGCCAAGCCTTTTCTCGGCCGCGGCCAGCGTGGCGCGGCAGCATTCATATAGAGCAGTAGCGAGACGAGAGAGAGGGAGTGGGGGCGGGCAGGTGCCTCAACTTTATGGCCGCCCGTTTTTTTTGGCTGTGTTACAGGGGGACGGGGGAGAGAGAGCGAGAGGGGGGGCGGGGAGGGGGGGTGGGGGGAAGGCACCCGGAGCCTGCCGCCCGCCTCAGAGGCAGCGGCAGGCTCTTGTTTTTTTGTTTCTCATAGTCGTCCCAGGTGCAGGGGCCCCTGCAGCGGGGCAGCTCCTCAACGCTGCCCGCAGCGATGCTGCAGCAGCGAGAGAAGCCCGCCCCAGGCAGTCTTCTGGGCCGACAACTGCGCGACTCACGGGGCAGCTTCCGTATAGCTCCCAGGGGCCCGCTCAGGTTTCAAGCTTGAAGCAACAGGGACCCAAAACGGCCTTCACATGTACCTTTACCTCCTCTTCCTCCTCCCTCCTTCCTCCTCATCCTCCTCCGTCTCCTCCTCCTCCTCCTCCTTCCTCCTCCTCTCCTCCTCTCCTCCTCCTCTTCCTCCTCATCCTCCTCCTCCTCCTCCTCCTCCTCCTCCTCCTCCTCCTCCTCCTCTTCCTCCTCCGCCCCCTCCTCCTCCTTCTCCTCTTCCTCTTCCTTCTCCTCCTCCTCCTCCTCCTCCTCATCCTCCTAGGTCAGGGGCTTGTGCAAACCGTACACCTTGCCGATTTCCAAGACGCGTCGAGGTTTTCCCGAACGGATCTCGACGGGCTTACACCCCAAGGCGGATCTGGGCACAGCCTTTTCTATCCCGACGGGATGGCGGAAATCCTGGAAATCTTTTTCTTGCTGCCCCTTCCTCCTCTTCCTCCTCCTACTACCCATACCTGGGCCTGAGAAGGCCTGCGCAGGCTTCCGCCGAAATGTAGAGACTTCCTGCTCGTCCTTTCCCCCCCATCCCCCTCCAGTTCATACTCCTCCTCCTCCTCCTTTCCCCTTCCTCCTCCTCCTCCTCCTTCTCCTTCCCCTCCTCCTCCTCCTCCTCCTCCTCCTCCTCCTCCTCCCCCTTCCCCCTCTTCTTCTCCTCCTCCTCCTCCTCCTCCTCCTCCTCCTCCTCCTCCCAGCTGGATGCAAGCCCACCCGAGTAAAGGAAGAGCGTTTGTTTCTTGTTATAATGTGCCTCTGCCGATTCCGCCCTCCGCGTACCCCTCAGTTACAGTTGGAGGTAAGACGACACACCCGACTCATCCGGTGCCAGTCATGAATGGTCAGCTTTGGTGTATGTAGTGCGCGAGGCTCGGCAGTTGCACGAGCACTGGAGGTGGCAAGCTCAACCAACTTCCCGCCCCTTGTCCAGGCGGAGTGGGCACTGACAGTGGACGGGAGGCTTTGCGTAGGTTAGCAAACTGTCAGCCACCGAATGTTTCGGCCAACCTTTGGCCCTCGGGGGACCCCATCAAACCCCTCAAAGCCTGCAAAGTCAGGCGTGCACGCCCGACGTAAGAGGCTCGGTCACAAGGGCCGCGGCGTGTCCCAGGCCACGACCGCGCCCCCCATCGGTGGGCCGATCCTCCTCTTCCTCCTCCTTCTCATCTTCCTCTTCCTCCTCCTCCTCTTCCTCCTTCCCCCCCTCGAACAGGAGCCCGAGTTTAGTGTCTGGATCGATGTCCTGAGCCCGGGTTACGACATAAAGCACGCCAGCCCCGCATTCGCGCAGCACGTGAAGGCCATCATATTTTGGATGAGAGCGAGGGAAGGAGGAGGAGGGGCGGAGGGAGGAGGGTAGGCATGGATGGAGTCCAGGGCTGGAGTGATGGCGTGGGAGGAGGAAGGGAGGAAGGAGGAGGAGGAGGAGGAGGTGGAGGAGGAGATGGAGGAGGAAAGGAGGAGGAAATAGAGGAAGAAGGAGCAGGAAAAGGAGGAGGAGGAGGAGGAGGAGGGAAAAAGATAGCCATGTGTCCCAGTTGAGACGGCAGGCGGAAGCCTCGCACGCGGCCTCTTTCAGCAAGGTGCCACGGCCCAGGGGACGGACTCGGAAACGACCTTGGTGCGACGGTTCTGGAAGACAACCGCCCGCTGTGGAGGGGGTGGGGGGAGGGTTTGCGTGAGGAGACTCCCCCTCGGCAGGCGCTTCCAGCCCACGCACCGGCCAGCGCCGTAGCAAGCAAGGCAACTCAGAGATTCCCCGCGGCGCGCGGGGGGCCAGGCAGGGAGCGCCTGCCCGGGGCTCGCCCGATCCCACCTACACCGCCGTGTCGACGTACTTCGTAACCACCCGACGGCGCTTGGGAGAGGGAGAGCGGGAGAGCGCACAGCATCGGACAGCAGCGTCGTCCGGGCCGTGGGCCCGCCTCGCAAAGTGGGACGCGCCGCTTGCCAAACGAGGGTGGCCGGATGATTCCCCGATTCCCCCCCCGGCGCGGACAAATGGGCTCCTCCTCCTCCTCCTCCTCCTCCTCGTCCTCCTCCTCGTCCTCCTCCTCCTCGTCCTGCTCCTCCTCCTCCTCCTGCTCCTCCTCCTCCCTGGCTGGAGAAAAGACACCGTCGGCGGTGACCAGATTCCACGGGTTGCCGTCCGCGCCACCGTGCGCGCCGGGAGAGGCGCCGGCTTGGGGCATGCCCTGCAGCTGCCCAGGAAGGGCAGGCACTGGAACAGGCACCAACGGTGTTCGCGGCCCGCGTGGACAAGGGCCAGCACCTGGTGTGCCGCCTTTTGGGAGCGGAAGGGGGCCTGGAGACTCAGAAGCCAGGCGAAGGCTGGCCAACCCGTGGCTGCCAAAACGGAGCTCCGGGATGTTTGTTTCCAGGCGGCAGCCCGTTTTTTTTATGTAGCGCGATGAGTTGTATTCAGGGAGTGTGTGTGTGTGTGTGTTGTCTTGCTTCCGGGAAGATCGTTTTAGCAGCCACGGATTTCCCAGTTTTCGCCCAGCTTCCGAGAGACAACCTTGGAAGGTGGTCTTTCTGGTCGTGTCAGGGCGGGAAACCAGTGGTGTAACAACTACAGCCTCTTGTGCACCATGGGACCTGTCAGTGAACGGTGCTGACCGGTCCTGCGCCTGCTGAATAGCAGTCTCCAGCTGGTTGGCGCGCTGGTTAAGTACTTGTCCCGCGGTCCTCTCGTCGCAAGTGACTGGTCGCAGTGAGGTACTGCGTGAGGGCCTGCCTCCGGTCAGCACGATGCTCAGCAAGATGCTCCGCGGTTGTTCGGTTTCCAGCGCCCTGGTGGGTGGTGTTGGGGCGCTTGGTACCCGTTCCCCTGGGGGGGGGGCGGGGGGGGCGGCCTGGTGGCAGGAAGCGCTGCGTGGGGTAACACTGGCCAGCCCGGCGGGTTGGGGCGGCGGCGCGGCCCCTGGGGGCGCTGTCTGCGACCCCGCACCAGACATGCGCAGGTGTTCTCCCAGGTCGGGCGAGGCGGCACCATTTGCGCCGGCGTGTCCGTCGGCCGCGTTTCGGCAACGCGCAGAGGGGGGTAGGGGGAGGGGGGAAGGCTTCTTAGAAGCACCCCTGCTTCTTAGAAGGCGCGGGCCTTCTCTATAGACGTAAGGCCGACGCCTTCTAAGAAGCAGGGTGCTTCTAAGAAGCCTTCCCCCCTCCCCTTACCCCCTTTTGCGCGCCGCCAAGCGTTGACGCTTGCAGAGTGCCGTCTCTCTGGTGGAGCAGCGCAGTCGTCTTCGCCGTTGAGGGAGGCCCCGCCACCAGGCGGGTCAAGATCGTCAGCGGCGAAGTCATCCGCGCGCTGGAGCCAGGGGTCGTCGAGGTCATCGAACCAATTGGGACCTGGTGGCTTCGTCGCGGGAGGAGGTCCTCTTTCTGCACAACTACCTTGTCCAAGACTGGTGGTGAGCGGATGTTTCTCCATTTTGGAGAGCTCCGTGGGGAAGAGGGAACGCGTGGTGCCGTCAATCAGGTCGCAGTATGAATGCCGTGGCAATTTGCAGCGCCGTCTGTTAACGTTGGCGAGATCATATGGGATGCTGTGTAGTTTGGCCCCCGCGATGGCGAGATCGTCAGTCTGTCAGTCGGAAGCTTCCGCGATGGGCGTGACGC